CAAAACATTGAACTTGGATAAAAAAGGGAGAAGCAGGGGCGCCTGGGGGGTTCAGTGGGTTAAGCCTCTGCCTTCAGCTCAGGTCATGATCTCAGGGTCCTGGGATCGAGCCCGCATCGGGGTCTCTGCTAGGCAGGGAGCCTGCTTCCTCCTCTCTCTCTCTGCCTGCCTCTCTGCCCACTTGTGATCTCCATCCGTCAAATAAATAAATAACATCTTTAAAAAAAAAAAACCTTGGGGTGTGGTAACTTCGTTTCTTTGCCTGGGTCATATGGACTTAAGCACCTTTATTATCGCTTCTCAACAAACATGTAGGTTTCCATATACTTTTTTGTGGGTATGACCTAGTCAGTGACAAACCTAGGTTGACTAGGTGTTAGGCAAAGTAGTGAGTACCTCGTCATGGTGAGGGTCCAAGGAGAGGCTGGGACACTTAGCAAGAGGATGGGAGAATGACCTCTGACCTTCAGTCCATCTCTAAGACTCTACACATCCGAAAATCCATGGACGATTATTAAAGGGAAGATTTTCTAAAATATTTTCAAGGCGATTGCCTTTTAATTAACTTGAGTTGAGGCCCCATTCGATTGATCGATTGCTATAATTATTCTGGGCGTTTGTTAGACTATGATCCCAGGGTCTATTACGGTGATAATCATGTTTGCTGGCCATCGTATGAGAATCAGATACGCAGTCCCTGCCCTCTTAGAGTGACAAATCGCGCAGACAGTCATAAAGAACACAGAGCCAGAGCAGCCACGAACAGTGAGCAAACACGAAAGACAGGGAAAAGGTCTATGCAGCAGACTGGTCAAGGTTTCAGGTCTTACCAGAGTGGGGAATAAACACACAAGGGCCTTGAGAAACATGCCCTAGGTGGGTCAAGATCAGGAGGAGGTAGCCCTCCGCTCCAATTAACATCGTCAGGCTTCCTGGGAGAAGCAAGCTTTCAGAAATATATAGATGCTGGCAATCACATACGTGGCTAGGGGAACATTTTTTTCCTAGGCTGCCAGGAAAAAGAAAAAAAAAGCCAAAATAGCTTAAGTGGCCATTTCCTCGTGGTTATCCTGCTCTCCTGTTCCGTTCCTTTGTGATGTCTCACTACCCACTCCCCTGAGTTGGGGGAACCGAGACCTGAAAACGGGAAATGAGAGGAAGGGGTATTTGTGGACCGTGATGGATGTGGAATCAGGGAGAGTCCTTGAGTCCCCAGGTCACTGCTAAACAAACAGACCGGCTCCACCTCTCCTGGCTGAGCTGGGCCTCTGGGCCAAGTTACTTCTGCTTTGGACTCACTTAACCTTTAATCTGGGGATCCCCACTCGTGTTACTGACATTAAGTCCTCCAACTTCACAACAACCTGAGGTTGAGGGGAAAAGTAAACCAAAACACAAAAGTCTTGTGATCTACTTGAGTCCAACGTGGTAAAATTCAAATAAATCCATAGTCAAAGTTTATTTTCTCATAATTTATCTTCACATTACTGAAAGGAAACTGAGTCACAAAGCAAGGAAATGAGTTGACTTCACGTATGCCCTTCAGTCTTTGACTTCATCCATATGAATAATGTTCTAAAGTTAGTGTATTTTTCTTTCTGTAAGTTCTTAACATGATCATTTTATGCATGGGGACACTGAGGCACGGAATGGTTAAAATGTGCTGCCTCAAGGTCCGCCTCAATACATATGCCTGGATAAGAAACTCAAGAGCCCGAATTCTCAAAGCAAATTCCTTTCTATTAGCTTCCTACCCACGTTGGAAACATTCAATTCCCTCAAGCTTTGCGAAATTAGGTGATAAAGGCTGTGAAGTTTGAGTTCTCGATACCAAGAACAGTGTGGGTCTGGGAGTAACGAGAGTAGCCATGACCGTTGAATTTCATAAAGAATTTCACAGTTCACCAGCACTGCACAGCTGTTAATACACTCCGTCCCCATTAAGGACACCGATCGTGTCGCCCTTTCACAGATGAGGATGCTAGGACTCATTTAGCGGCTTGTCAGAGGACCCAGTTAGCAAAGGGTGGAACTGGGACTGAAACTCAGGTCTTCTGAATCCAAGTTCAATGAGAACACCCTCTGGGGGAAGAGGCCACCTGAATTTTACTGGTACACTGAGAGGAGATTAAGGGAGGTCCTGGCAGCACACCAGCTCGTGTGTTGGCAGAGAAGGAAATGATCATCAAGCATTTCAAACGATGACACAGGAAGGGTCTGAGCACCCAGGGATCCCCCGGAGCTCTAACCTCTGAGGGCCTGCAGGCTAAGACAAACACACCAAGAAGACCAAACATGTGCACGCCATATCGATGGTATGTGCCACAGTAGATGTGTCACGGTGACCAACCCCACGGGTAGAGAGGAAAGCATTTCTACCATACACGTGGCCAGGGAAGTTTGGGATGTGGAATATAAGTGCACAAATTAAAATGGGAGCAATAAAAGCAAGCAGGGCAAGGACGAAACACAGGCACACACGCACGCGTGCGCACACACACACACACACACACACACCCCCAATCCAGGAAAGGTTTTCTGGAAGAAAAATAAACTTTGGTTCTTTTTCTTCTTTTTTAAGGTTTAGAAGCAATGGAGTAGCTGTGCTGTGCCGAGAGCAGAGTTGAGAGTGTGAGATTTGGAACAGAACTCATCCCCAGCATGTGGGACAACTGCAAAGATGGGTAGGAAGCAGAGCAGTGGGCAGTGGCACTGGCCAGAGAGGGCCTGGAGCAAATGGAAACTCAAGAGCAGTTACGACCTATCTTGACTCCTAGACTATGCCTCCGTGTTTGCACCGCATGCTTTCAGAAAGCTCGTGCTCTGTATTTCAGGGGCAAGAAGAAACTCCATGGTTGTGGAAGCCTGTCTGGAACAGGTGAAGGCAGCAGGTGCCACGGGGAGGGAGTGAGGGGACAGGGACCTCGAGTGCACTGAGCAAGGAGCCCCTAACCATCCCAGTCTTTCCAGATTCTGCCACCACAGAGAAACTTACTTATCTGGACCCAGGAATTTTTTTTTTTTTTGAAGATTTTATTTATTTATTTATTTGACAGACAGAGATCACAAGTAGGCAGAGAAGCAGGCAGAGAGAGAGGAGGAAGCAGGCTCCCTGCTGAGCAGAGAGCCGGATGCGGGGCTCGATCCTGGGATCATGACCTGAGCCGAAGGCAGAGGCTTTAACCCACTGAGCCACCCAGGCGCCCCTGGACCCAGGAATTTTTAGGGAATTCCCAGTTTGCACAGTCAAACCCAAATCTGCCTCTTGAGTCTGAGGCCAGGGATTAGATTTTAATGTTAAAAAGCTGCATTGAGCTCTACTGGGACATAAACATTACTTGGATACATCCATGCAGACTCCAGCCAGGCAGAGAAACCTGTTTGTCTCTGTTAACTGTGTTTACTTACTCAAGTCATCCTTTGTGACCCTAATTAGCCAGAGAAGCAGCAGCAGAGAACCACTAGGAGACCAGGGTTAAGGATTTGCCGAGACTGCCTGGCTCTGGCTACTGGCCCTCTGTACAACACAGGGTCCTTGGAGGCGAAGGGCTGGCTGTAACCACGACAATTGGAACCCCGAGCCAAGGCTTAGCGATTTCAGACTTTCAGAGGAAGCTGTTCCTCATCACTGTGGTTTCTGAGTTGACTCAACCAGTAAGATTAAGGGCTTCTGTGATGATGAGTCTCAGGATTACTTTTGGTAATATTTGCTCATCTGCCCTGTTTACAACCGGCTCTTCTCTTTTAACCACTCTGCATGATTTAACACATTTAATACAACCACATGAGCAGGTACTATAGGAACTGACACAGAGAGGTTAGGTAACTTAACGGGGATCACACAGCTAGTACCTGAAGGCACTAGAATCCAACTACAATTTACATCGTTCAGCTAAACCCCAGTATTTTAATGAGAAATTTCCACCAAACATCTGGTATTTAGGTAGAATATTTCTAGGCACTTGAAGAAAACACAAAGTACATATGACAGTTCCTACAAAGAGGTCATGGTATAGTCGCCCTATTAGCAATCCTCGCTAGGCCACTAGAATTTTACTCCTTTTGGTCACCTGGGTCGTATCCTTTTCTAACTAGAGAAGACCTACATCCCGCCCACCTGAAGCTATTATCCTTTCTTTTTTAAACAAACCAAAAAAAAAGGACAACTTGAGGTCCAGAGGGGACCCACCTCCTAGTTAACCCGTCACCAGCTACGGAAGGGCTTGGGGCACAGCCAAGCCCAGACGGAGGGGACGGATGGTGATGTCCCCCCGCTCTGCGGCCCTCTGGAGGAAAAGGTGTAGGAGAGTTTGCTCTTCGTCCCCACCCGCCGGTCCTGCCGGGTTCCGTCCCGTTCTCCGCGTCTGCCCCTCTCGGCGCTCGCGCCCCTCTGCTGACCCTGCCGACCCCTCCTCCCCTTCCCGCCCCTGGTGGGCCCCGAGCCGGGGACGAAGGCTGGGCAGCTGCCGGCGGCCCTCCCCACGAACGAGCCTCGGGCCAGGCCCAGACCGCTCTGCACTAGACACTCGCGACCGCTCGCGCGGTAACGGGGCACAAGGAAAGGAAAGGGAGACGTTTCCCAGCCACTCGGGGAAAGGCGAGCCAGCGCTTGCTCCGGACACCCGGCCCGGAACCCGGCGCACGGGGACTCGGCGGGCACAGCGCTCCGAACCCCGCGGGGTGGGCGGCAGGACGGCCCCGGGCCACGCTCCCCCCGCCCCCACCCGGCCGCGCGTCCCTAGGTCCCGTCGTCCGTCCGTCGGGGCCGCACCGCCCCCCGCGAGCGTGCGTGACGTGCCCCCGCGGCGTGACGCAGCGCGGCGTCCGACGGGAGGAGCGCAGGGGCGGGGCGGCGGAAGTCGGCGTCTGCGGCGAGGAGAGAGACGAGGACTGGGCCCCGCCCCAGCCCGGCCCCGCCCCTGGTCGTGGGCGGAAGTGACGACAGCGGCCGCGGAGGTCACTTCCTGCTAGGGTGGATGAGGAGGAGCTGGAGACGCAGCGGAGGAGACCGGAGCGAAGACGGGCCGCGCCGGGCAGAGGTGAGTCCCGGCCTCGTCGCCGGGCCGACCCTGGGCCTCGCGGGCTGCGTCCCCGGGGCCGGGCCGCCTACCGGCCTGGCCGGGCCGCCGGCGGCGCGGGGGCGAGCAGGCCCCCTGTGTGTGAGGGGCGGCCGGGACCCGGGGCGCGTTCGTGCGGTGGCTTCGCGGGGCCCCGGGGCGAGGCCGGCCCGGCCGGAGGCAGGACGGAGGGAGGCTCCGGGGACCGGGACTCCGGGCAGCTCGCCGCCGCGGGGCAGCCGCAGCGCCGGCCTCGGCCAGCCTTGTCCTCCCGGGAGCGGCCGCGAGCTGGGGAAGGACGAGGGCCCGGGGGGTTGCAGACTCGAGACGAGCGACCTCGCGGTGAATCTGTGGGCGGCGTGGACAGGCGCCTGCGGGCTCCTGCGAGGGGCGACCGGGGAGCCGGCGTGCGGGAGGAGGCTTCCTGGTCGAGTCCTTGCCGCGGCGGGGTCGGACCCCCGAGTCGTGCGCTTGGAGGGCGCTCCTGCGGCAGGACGGAGGCCCGGCTTTCCGACCGAGCCGTCCGGGACCCGGAGTCCGGGCGGCCTCCTGGGGGAGGGAGCGGCGTTTCCCTGCCCGGTTGTCGCGGAGATGGGGGCAGCGGCGGAGGAAGCTGCTGCCTCGGCGCCGGGTGATTGTGTCTTGTGTGTGTGACTGCGCGTGTGTTTGCGTCTGTTTTCTCCTTGCTCGGGGGTGTTTGTGTCGTCCTCATCGTTTCACAGACTCGCGGGTTATCTTCGTGGGGGCGGGGAAGCTCCAAGGATCCGGAGGAATCCGAGGTTAGATGAAATTTCCGAGATTAGGAATTTGCCGCCACCCCACCCCGAGGCCACCGAGGCTCCTGCATTCCGCCCCGGAGCGCTCTTGCTAATGTGGGTGCAGGGCCTGTCATCCGCCCTGGGGGACGCAGAGCCGGGAGCGGCCCTCTCCGCCCGCCTCTCCCTCAGGCAGCTTCACCCTTCCCTCGGTTTTGTTGAAGGGTGGCGGGATCCATGGCTGCCTGCTGCTGCGCACGGGGTTTAGGGAGGAACTGAGTCCGGACGGCGCGTTCAGACCGCAGCAGGACTCCCTGCGCCTTTTGAACGGAGGTTCTCAGAAGTGCTCGCCTGCCTTCTTCCCGTCAGGGGAGAAAGTGTAAAAATACTTCAGAGTGATGAGAGTAACTGCGTGTGTGTGTTTACTTCCTGTGTCCCGCGGTGTTTCTCGAGGAGGAGGGGGTTCGTGTCTGGGAGGAGTTTTCCTTCCCCCGTAATTCGGCAAAGTGAATCAAAATCAGATGCTTTCTGGAGTTGCGGTCAGACGGACTTGGGTTTTTCTACTCTTTTAAAACTGGTACATCTGGGTGGACTCAGGCCCGTGTGTCTTGGCATCGGGGTCTGTCTAGTAATAGAAGGAAAACTGCCGGCTTGAGTGGCCGCCTTTGGGACCCGCTCACTGCGCCTGCCTTCCCCGCATCTGAACGGCTGGTCAGGAGGAGGCAAGCGAAGCCTGAGGACAGCGTTTGCGCTTTGTGGTTTGAAGTCAGGTGAGAGATAATGACGGCCTCTGCCGCTGGTGACCGGAGGACCATCATTCGGGGGCTTGGGGTCAGCAGTCTGGAGGTGGCATATTTGAAAGGAAGAGGATTACATAAGGAAGGGGAGACACGGAAAGGAAGTTTGGGGAAAGGCTCTGCCGGAGACCTTGGGAGGAGGATAAACAAATAGTACCTAGAGTAACTGGTGCGTGTCTCTCAGCAGGAGGCAAGATGAAAGCCGGCTGTAGCGTCGCGGAGAAGCCCGGAGGAGGTGGAGGTGAGCACCAGCGAATCATCTCTGAGTTCCTGGAATGTCCCTCGGGGCTTCCTTTTCTCTGTGCTCGGGCTCTGTTCACTAGTGTCCGACCCGGACCAGACAGCCTCTTGCCCTGGCGGATGCTGCCCGCCCAGCTGTAGGCTGGTGTCTTAGGACGTATGTCAGCGTGTCTGGCCACCACACCTTCATCCCAGGCCTTAGCGCCTCCTCCCTGTGACAGACACGGTTCCACCCTCAGGGACAAGGGACAAGGGGTTTTCAGCTCTGTTTCCCTAAAACGTTAGTGCGTTAGTGCGTCTTTCCTGTTTGTTTCTTTTGGAACGTTCCTGCCCCTGCCCTCGGGAAAGTAGGTGTGAGATTTAGGAACGCAGGAAAGAGCAAGAGGCTGGCGCACCTGGGTGCTGGGGTCCCGTGCCAGCAGCGCGGAGGGTCGCCACAGGAAGGGTGACGTGTCCCTGCTTTTCTCCCCTGTGGTGGTCAGCCGCGGCTGACCGAAGGGGTGTCTGTGGCACGTCTGCACAGCACTCTCCAGATTCGGAGCATCGGAATATGAGGCCGGGGATACGGATGCGTCTGAACCTAACTCCTGACTCCCCGCACCTTGCCCTTTTCACATTAAAGGGTATCAGTTTCCCGACTGGGCCTACAAGACCGAGTCGTCCCCGGGCTCCCGGCAGATCCAGCTGTGGCACTTCATCCTGGAGCTGCTGCAGAAGGAGGAGTTCCGCCATGTCATCGCCTGGCAGCAGGGAGAGTACGGGGAGTTCGTCATCAAGGACCCCGACGAGGTGGCCCGCCTCTGGGGCCGCAGGAAGTGCAAGCCCCAGATGAACTACGACAAGCTGAGCCGGGCCCTCCGGTGAGGGACAGGATTCCCAGAGCAGTGCTGTTAACAGATGGGAGGGAGACTATAGCTGGGTGGATGTTGGATGAAAAGGGCACCAGGCAGTAAGAGACGCACCATCTCCGTGAATCACGTGTGGCTTTGAAGTGGGAGTCGAGGAGCTGCTGAATCCCAGTGGCACAGGCCCCGGAGGAGAGGAGGCATATCTTTGGTTCTCTGTAGGAGGGAATTCCAGCGCGGTTGGCACTGGGTCCTGACAGACAACCGATTCTGCTCTGTAGTGGGCGAGCGTGTGTGGTGAAACGCGGATTGGAGCGCATTTGTAATCCAGAAGATTAGTTGAGGCTTCCCTGTGGGAAGTGTGTTAGAATTTCTCTTCCGGCTCTCCTGGAAGAAAGTGGGAAAGCAAAGCAAGCAGAGCGCACAGGAGAGGGCTCCCCGAACGGCCCCGACCTTGCGGTTCGGGACCCACGCCTGTGAGCGGGGTTGTCCGTCCGCAGGTTGCTCTGACACGTCTAAAGTTTGGCCACTTGAGCTTCTCTCAGGTTCTTAATTTTCCCCTTGCCAGTTTTTACATTGCATAACCTCTTCGCCCTCAAGGGGCCAGAAGGCCGTGCGTAAGCGGTGCTACCGAGGAGATGCCTGGCCGGAGGCTGCGGGGCTGCCCCAGTCCCCTGCCTCTCTTCCTTCTTAGTGACCTTGAATGTCGGAGCTGGGCAGCCGCTGTGCTGGGGCCTCTCTCGCATCTTTGTGAAAGTGAAGCCGGCCAGGCTGCCTGCTGTCCTCCCCGTCGGGGTGCGTGGTTGTCGGACCTGCTGCCGCAAAACGGTCATGGGCTTCTTCATCTGCACTTCGTGCTCAGCCTCCACACTGGCCAGTTCAGGTCTCCCAAGAGACTTGTCTGCCCCCACCTGGGCTGGGCAGTGCCATACAGGGGAACAGGAAGGAAATGGACCGTGGAACTGAAACTGTAGTGTGACAGAGGGAAAGGTGGTTGGGACTGGGATAGCTGTTCAGGATCTTAAAGTGAGGTTGCCTTGGTAAAGCTCCACCCGAGGACTTAGAGCTTCCTTTGAAAATCGAGTAAGTCTCCCAGCCCTGACCCGAAGGCCAGGCTGCGTGAGAACGATAGTGATGTTTCCATGTCACGCCTAGAGCTGGAACTGTTGATCAGTGGTTACCTGTGTGTGCCAGAAATTGTCAGTAGGTGGAAGATCGAGTGACGCCTCTTCCTGTGTTTGCAGATACTATTACAACAAGAGGATCCTTCACAAAACAAAAGGGAAAAGGTTTACGTATAAATTTAACTTCAACAAGCTGGTGATGCCCAACTACCCATTCATCAACATTCGGTCGAGTGGTAAGAAGCAAACTCTTTCCGTTTGATATTCCGAGTTGATAAAAAAGTTTAAAAGCCCAGGTCTAAGACCTGGCATGTTAAAGGATTTTTAGAAAGACTGGAGTCGTGTGGATGGGCCCCACGGTCTTCCCCACAGTCTTGCCCTGGTTTCTCTGTTTGTCCTGTGCGGGGAGTGACAGGCTCTGCTGGATCGAGAGAGATTTGTTGAGATGTTTATTGGTTCTCTTTCGTGCATATTATCTGTGTCTCCCAGATACTCCTCTGTTGTCTTTAGGATATACGTTCCATAGGTTCATGCTCAGTCCTTCAGTCTAGAACTCAGTGTTAACGCCCTGCCCCGCGGCTCTTTCGTAGACGAGAACCGGTTTCTACAAGCACTTCCGATTTTCTATGAAACTACCAAGCTCTCCCTTATCAAGTGAATATCATCAAAACCACAGCATCCTTAATCACAGAAGGGGAGGTCTGTGTTTGCAGTGAGAAGCAGTGTCTTTGATCTGCACCAGCACCTCAGAGAGTAAGATCCGGGGTTACTTGACCTTCTTTGCTCTCAAGTGCAGCAAGGCTTCCCGTCTGGGCTGCACGCGCGTAGCTCTCCATCGCAGCTCCTCACGTAGCTCTCCCTCACAGCTCCTCGCGGGGCTTCAGGGCAGCCTCTGTCCAGTCTCTCCGAAGGGGCTTGGTTGGTTTCATTTCAGAGTCAAGACCTCTCCCTCCCTAGGAAAGTAGATGGTGTTTAACTAAGTTTCTGACCCGTCCGTCAGTACTCCGTGGCCATGTGTGTTGAAGCCAAGAAAGCTGATTGTGCTGCAGTAGCCTGACTTCTCAGAGAAGAGTCGGAAGAAACTTGAAAAATCGGAGCAGGGTGTGGCTGAGACTGTACTGCTGAGATCCACTGCAGATAGGTCACTAACTACACACAACAAGTTAGGGCAGTTCGGGCTTGATGCTGCTATCGGTACAGTTCCATCTCATCTCTCCTGTAGCCACGCCCTCCTGTCCCTGGGGCATGTGTTAAAAAAAAAAAAAGTGGTATTGGAATGCATCTCTCTAATTACAACCTGTTTTCTTTCCTGGTGCCTGAGAAAGAGGTGTTAGGAAATCAGACCTATTGTAGCCACTGGAATCCTGTTTCCTCTAGTTTTCACTCTTGCCCCTTTCCTATGTAGTACCTAGAGGAATTGGGACTCTACGTGGATATACCAGCAGTTCTGAGAACGTGCTGGTGTTCCATACCATTCACCCCTACTCCCCACCAGAAAGGGCTTCGTTGGTTTTGTTATTATGTCTTTGACCCATTTTTGTCTATTGAAAATCCGGAAGTCCGGCTCTTGGGCAGCCTGGAACAGGGCACACCCACCAGCCCTTGGGAGTAATGTGCCCTTCCAGGATGAGAAAATCTGGATCCTCACTCTGGGAAGACTCTGGTCTTCTAGCCTAACGGCAATGGCCTACCACAGCCTCATCTCCCTGAAAGCAGTGGGACCAGCATTGATCCTTAACAAAGCTCGAGACCCTAGTGGAATGAAGTCATAGGCAAGGGAGAGCCGTGTGCGTTTCATTTAGGTACGTACTTGGTTGGTTACGTCCTGGGTCCTGGGTATAGATAACGCCGGAGAGCGGGAGTCATTGGCTCATAAAGAAATTTACCCAGAGGGGCCAAATGTTCCAGATTCAACTTTTACGGTGACAGGAAAGGTGACGTTTACTGAGCGTTTGTTTCACGGATGTACTTTTGCTTGGTGTTTCTGTGAGCGACCACCTTTAACTCTCCTGGCCTGCTGTAAGCGTGTATCTCAATACTCACATTTTACAAATGAGAAAATTACGGAGAACAGCGAAGTCCAAGACGAACACGGGTAGGTGGAGTACAGTTACCTGCTGAGCGGCTTCTTGGGAAACCGTTCCTGAGAGACAGAGCGAGAAATCCAGCGTGGGCTGAACGGTCCTGCGTTCTCGCCCGGACTGGGACTTCATCCTAAAAACAAAAAGAGAAGATGATGGAGGAGGTCTTTCTCTCGAGGAACTTGAGAACTAGCAGGAGAGATGAGATAGGTGAGCTCGAGCGCACTTCAGAGCAGCCGTGTACAGTGTAGCGAGCTCTCTAGGCGCCGAGCTGTGTGGACTCCAAGGTCAGCGAGGTCCGGTCTGGGGGGCGGTGGTACCTGCCCAGATGACCCAGAGGTCTGGAGTAAGAAGCAAAGTGAGCGCTCTCCCTCCCTCCCCACATCGACGACCTCACCTCTTACAGTGCAGGGCAGAATGCTTGATATTTGGATGGTGCGGGAGTACTTCTGCATACAGTATGTCGTCGTTACTCCTGAAAGCTATAAAATAATTATTCTGTTCTTTTGAACGTTTATTGTCCTTCATAAGAAGCTGTGGGAACATCCAGAGGAAACGAGGAACAGACCCCAGCTGGCAGGGCAGAACGGGTTCAGGAGCCCTCACTCTGTGCCTCCCTACCCCCACCCTGGTGGGGTATTTCTTTCTTTTGGAAGACTTTAAACCCATAGAAAAATGGGGAAAAACAGAACTGTGAGCACCCGTGTGTCCTCTCTAGATTCACTAATGATCGACACTGTTGCCACATACGTTTTTCCTCTTACACGTACTTTTTAAGTTATTTTGAGGTTAAGTTACAGACATGGTGACATTTGTCCCCTGGGTACTTCGCGTATCCCCTAGGTACAGGACATTCTCCTCCATGACCCCAGTAACGTTAATACACCTGGGAAATTGAACACGACGCTACGATTCTTGTCTCCTATATGGTGCATATTCCAAAAGTATGTGCCTTTTACAGTGTTTGTTTTTAAAGTGTAATTATTGTGTAATAAAAAATTACTTGTCTTAACAAATACCTGACATGCACTTTGCCGTGTGCCATACTGTTCCCTTTAAGTTTTCATAACGTGAGGATTCGTCCTGTCGCTGTCCCTCTTACAGATAAGGAAACGGAGGCACAAAAAAGTAAGCAAGCGCTCCAGAGTCCCACAGCTAAGAAACGGTAGAGCAGGGTCTGAACCTAGGCAAGGGTCTTGTTACTTCCATTTTGCCAAAGGGGGTCAAAAGCCATGTGGTCACGTGCCACGAAACGAGGTGCAGGAGCTGCGATTCTCCCCCGGTGCTTCTGCTCGGCCGCTCCCGGCTCCCAGTGGCTCCTTGAAGGTCGTCTGCCTCCAGAGCAGTTACTCAGAGCTGTGGGCGCAGGAAGCTTACTTGTCAAACAAAGCCTTGGATCTGTTGTCTCCGCATACCCCATGTGACAGTGGGGCGGCTGCACTGGGTCCGAGGCGAGGGTCCCGGGCGCCCCCGCCAGCATCGCTCCTCGGTCACACCTTCCCTAAGTTCGTGTGGAACGTGCCGTGTGTTCTCTGCTCTTCTTGCACACGTACAGCGTACCTTACCCTGCGTAAAGAAGGGAGGACCCTCCGGTTTAAAAAGAAACAAAAGTAAATCGTTCGGGAGACAGGTCCTTCTCTCTGGCCTCTCGCCCCAACCGCGTTGTACTCCTGTAGTCCTTCAGCACACACGGAAAGTGGTTTTTTGCTTTTCAGTAGATGAGCTCTTGACATACATCCAGACCCAAATGAATCAAACAGTAGCTAGAATTTTAGCTGCGGTAGTAGGCCGGAGGAGAGAGACTTTGGGCCTGGGACCTTCTTGATTCCAGTCATATTACATGCAGGGTCAGGCACCAGCATTTCCTGATTGAAGGATCGGGTCATTGGCTTTAGGGGACAAAGAGCAGTTTCTGTGGAACTTCAGTTTGGGAAGTGCCGCTCGGGCAGTGTCACTCAGTCGCATGTGCCTTGGAAGCCACGATGTCCCCGACAGCCAAACCCAGGGTCCCGGCCGAGGATGGCCCGTTACTCAGAAACGGAGGGAGGCAGCTGATGGGGGCACTTCCCAGTCACACCAGGCTTCACGCTCTGTTTTGTTTCTTCTTCTGGGTCACGGTACCCTCGCTGGGGTTTCCTTATTTTTCCTTCTCCCTTATCTCTGCCCCAGAGTGTAAAAAGTCCTCGTGACATCACTTACGGAAGGGGCTCTGAGGCCTCTGGTGGCACACACCTTTCTCAGGCCTTGTTCAGAGAAGGACCTTTTGGGGGAGTGGAGAACCTGTGGGCCTCTGAATCTGACGTGTTTAGCGTGGTGTCGGTTTCTGCTTTGAGGCGAGTTCCAGTTTTAGCAGGCTGACCCGGGAGAGGGCCCGGGGGTGGGGGGTGGTCCTGTACGTCCCCCAGCCTGCTGGGGGCCTGAGCGGCAGCACAAGCACAATAGGAGTGGAGGTCGCTGCGTAGAATGCGTTAGAGAAAAACACATTCAGAGAGGTGGAGAAGTACTTGAATCCCTGTGGTGATTTTATATCGGAAATGGTAAGAAGTCTTCCATGAGAACTCATCCTAACGAACATACGGCCTTTCCTTTCTTAATCTGCTTTTGTTCTTAAATCTGGTCTTGCCCGATCCATCTGTGTGAGGTCCAGAGTCTTTGGGCTTCTGATGCATCGCTTTCCGCGCGCATCGTTTCCAGTGTGTGTGTTTGGTTTGCTTCTTGCTTGATAGATAAAACCAAAACTATGAAAATAAAAGGAGACTGTTCAGCGAGCTGAGAACTGCCGCAGGGACCTGCGCGCAGTGCTTAGAGCTGGAGGAGGGAAGGCTCCCGTGCCCGCCCGGCCGCTGCTTCAGCTGAGGCGCGCCGAGCCCCAATTAGGTGTTAACCATGAGCCGCTTTACGTCTCGTTGTGAACAGTAGGAGGTCCCCACCTTCGTGGAATCGATGTTCTCGAGTCCCGATGAACAATAAATGTTTGTCTCAGGCAGTAAAGGGTGAAGACAGGGTTGGCAAGGGCTAGGGAGGGATGGCAGCCGGCTCAAGTCGCGGAAGCTGAGCTGTGCTCCCGGGAAGACGGGGAGCAGAGGGAGTCGGCGCGGCTGGAGTGTTGGCTTCCTGTCGCAACAAGATGGAAACATCTGGGGCTCACGTAGCATGAGTGACCGCGCTGACAGTGCGCGACCAGTCCTCTAAAGCGGCCTTTGTCTTCTCCACCATCACAGGTGTGGTTCCCCAGAGTGCGCCACCAGTGCCAACCGCCTCTTCCCGGTTCCATTTCCCACCTCTGGACCCCCATTCTCCACCGAGTGACGTGCAGCCGGGCCGGTTCTCCGCGAGCTCCCTCGCTGCTTCTGGCCAGGAGTCGAGCAATGGCGCAGATAGAAAGGGGGAGCTTCCGGAGCTGGAGGACAGCTCAGCCGCCGACTGGCGCCGGGGCGTGGATCTCCTATCCTCCCGGAGCGCCATCGCAGGAGGGCTCGGCCATCAGAAACGCAAGCCTGACATCATGCTTCCTCTGTTCAGCAGGCCTGGGGTGTACCCTGACCCGCACAGTCCCTTCGCGGTCTCTCCACTCCCGGGCCGCGGAGGTGTTCTGAACGTCCCCATCTCACCGGCCCTCTCCCTGACTCCCACCATCTTCTCCTACAGCCCGTCGCCCGGCCTCAGCCCCTTCACCAGCAGCAGCTGCTTCTCCTTCAACCCCGAAGAGATGAAGCGCTACCTGCACTCTCAGGCCTGCTCTGTGTTCAACTACCATCTGAGTCCCCGGACCTTTCCCCGCTACCCAGGACTCATGGTCCCGCCGCTGCAGTGCCAGACGCATCCCGAGGAGTCAGCCCAGTTCTCCATCAAGCTGCAGCCGCCTCCCGCCGGGCGGAAGAACCGGGAGAGGGCGGAGAGCAGTGAGCCGTCCGGCCCCGGCACCGCGCCCGCCACGGCTCCTGTCCCCCCAAGAATTAAGGTGGAGCCGGCCTCCGACAAGGATCCCGAGAGTCTCCGGCCGTCGGGGCGAGAGGAGGAGCGCTTCCGCGAGGAGGGCGCTGTGCCGAGCAGGACCACAGAGGAGGAGAAGGGCACCGTCTTTGCCCGCCCGGCCGCGCCAGTCTGGCCGCCCGGCCCCGCGAGCAGCCCGAGTGCAGAAGCCCTAGAGGTGACTGACGACAGCGAGGACAGGCCTGGCAGAGAGCCCGGCGCGCCTGAGAAGAAGGAAGACGCCCTCATGCCCCCCAAGCTCCGGCTGAAGCGGCGCTGGAACGGCGCCCCCGGAGCCCGAGAGCCGAGCAAGAGCGGCAGGGTCCTCTGGAGCGGGCCGGGGCCCCGGGGCCTGGCCACAGCCGCCGCCGACGCCTAGGACTGGAAGCGGCTCGGGAGCGGTTTCTCCCGTCAGCAGACGCACACGTGGATTCATGTAGCGAGAGGTCAGGGCTGGGGGGAGGGAGGGAGGGAATTAGACTGGTTTGATCCTTGTAGGGGCATAGACTTGTATTTTCATGTCTGGGGCATGGGATGGGTGTCTTCTGTTGTAAATTAGGGGGGACGTGAGCACCCTCTTTCCTGGTGAGCAGCACCCGGGAAGGCTGGTGAACTGAAAGGAGGAAGCACCTTTGCTTCCCAGGGAGGAAGCTTCTTACACTTTCTGTCGGACTCCCAGGGGGCCGAGGTGCCCTTGGTCCCGTTGCAGTTCAGGTTCCAGACGTCTTTCTTTTCTATTGTATGTATCTCTGAAAAGCCATTAATGAATTTCTTTTGCTCGGAGAGAGAGGGAGAAGGGAGTAGGGCGCGGCGGGCAGGCTGAGCAGCGAGAGACCATTACACCAAGTGTGTCGCCTGAAATGCTTCCGTGTAGTTCCTTTGGGGGGAGGAGTAAGGTAATCTCAGTCTTGCTGGGACAGGGGGATGTTCCGATGTTGCTCTTTTTTTCTTTCTTCCTTTGTTGTTGTTTGGCGTTTTTTCCCTTTCCTTCTCAGAAAACCAGCTGCAGGAAGCAGGAGCCGCGGCGCCGGCCCCGGGGGCTGGGAGGGCCGTGGCGGCGGCGTGGGGGGCGGGCCGCTGGGCTGTGGGCCCCTGGCACGCGCCCCTCCTTCACCTGCTAAGAAGCCATGAGGACTCGTAAGCTCTCGTTCAGGGAAGAAAGAAGAGGGCGTGAGGAAGTAACCCGATGCCTTTAAAAACAAAACACAAAAATGGTCTTCGTTTTTCCTTTTCCATTGTGGGTTCGGGGAGCCAGACCGCAGCGACTGAGTGCGTCCACCGAGCGGCCTGACCCTGGAGATGTCTGCGCTGCGTCTGGGTCTCTGACCGGGTCCTAAGTGAAGCCTTAACAGTGAACACACTTTCGTCACGTGCTGCGGGTGTGTCAGCGTAAACCTGTAAAGGGGACGGACAACTCTTAAGACAACCAGGGATGTTGAGACGTGGTGACCTGTGGACTTGGGGTTCGGTGGTCCCCCTTGACTTCAGGGGGCCGGGGAGCAGAAGGGCGGGATGGCGGGAGCTCGGGGCCGAGGGAACCCCGAAGCGCAGAAGGTAGCTGGGGTGCAAGGGGATGTTTGTCGAGGCTGAAGGCGGAGTGGACAGAGAGACACGGAAGGTAGCCAGACGCCAGAGCCTGGTGGGAGTGAAGGAGCCGCGTCTGTCCCGCGGTGGTGCCGTCCCCGCCACGCCCACTTCCCTAGATTGTTCTCATCCTCACGATCCACTCGATGGCACGGCAGACCAGTGCACAGGCAGGAGCGGTTTCTCCGTGGGAACGCCCCTCCCGTCCGCTCGAAGGACCAGGAAGGTGGCGCTCTTGCCTGAAGCAGAAGGGGCGGCCCGGGGGCAGAGAAGCCATGGCCGCTCGCCTGTGCGCGCACGTGACCGCGCTGATGGTGCATGACCCGTCCGCACGTGCAGTCACGTGCACGTGGAGGTGGTGCCACGGCCACTCACGTCTGCCTGGAGTCAAGGAGAGGGGAGAGGGGAGGGCTGTGTGGCCCACGGAGGCTAGAAGCAGGCCCGGGGCCGCCGTCTAAGGACTGGAGAGACCGCAGCTCCGCCTTAGCCTAAGTAGACCCTGTACCCTGAGCAGCGTTCGGGGTTGTCTGTGAACGGGGTTGGGGACTTTCTGAAAGGAGCCCACGCGTGCGGGGCGGGAAGCGGTCAGCCAGGGAGTGGGTTGACAGGTGGCTCGGGACGACGCGAGTCCGTCGTGCTGTTGTCTGGCCAGCGTCGTCCTTGTTCAGTCCGATTCCAAATAGTGACTTGTCTCTCCCGGGGGAAGGGACCGGGAGCGCGGTCTCGCACCAACTCGGGCTTTGGTCGGGCTGCAGAGGGCTCCCTGTTCAGGCTCCTTTTGGTTGGTTACGTTTTTGCCCATTTCTCTCTCTGCACCTCTTACCTCGGATGGGAAAGCAAGCCCGGGCGGGTGCGGGACGGCTCTCTGCTGGGCGTTGCCCCGTCTAACCAGGAGGCTGGCTGGCTCCCCGCTCTGTCCGCGAGAGCACAGGGCCGGCACGTGTCGGTACGAACTCAGGAATAGAAACTCGAGGCCTTTAAAATAAGAGGGAGAGAAATCCGCAGGCGGGCCTGGAACCCCTGGAACCCAAGTGCCGGAACTAACTGCTAGATGCTGCTTGTGTTGGAACAGAAAGTCCCTGCTTTTAACTTGAAAAACCACACTCGAAAAATGTTCAACTCCATGAAAAATGTTTTCCGGCTTTAAGGAATTGGTTGGTGTTTTACTGTTTCCTCTGACTGGCCTTCCGCAGCGAGTCACTGGTTGATGTGCACCGCACGCCGGGGCCGGGGCCGGGGCTGGGGGTCCTCCCGCCGCCAGACGTGGGCTTGCTCGGGAAGGGGACCGGGGATGTGGAAGTCATCGGCACTTCCTGGGGTAAAGGGGTCGCGGGTACTTTCTCACCTGCCGGACCCGCTCCTGACAGCACCTGTCGCCAGTCGGGCGCAAAGCCAGGCCTTCCTCGCGTGCGTTTCATCACTGTCCGGCAGCAGAAGGGAAAGGGGGGCTGAGACCAGACCATTTTCTCCCCCAAGTGTTTCCGAGTTTCGCTGTGCCAAACGTGTAAAACTTTGCAGATATAAATCTTGAAATTTCATTAAGAACTTGTTCACGGAAACAGTTTGCTTTTACCGTAGGAGAAAACGGATCTCTTGAGAACATCCACTGCTGAGCTCCTTTTTTTTTTTAGGGACGGCTGGGGTGTCCCGTAAGCGACTCCCCAGGTCCCTTCACCCCAGTCTTCAGGCTGCACTGCATTAAGCCGGCTCGCCAGCTCGCGCGGGGACGCGCTGCGCCCCGGTCCTCCGTGGGCCGCGAGGCGTTCGGAAGCATTAAATCACAGTCGAGTACACCACTTCTCACCAAGCGGGTAGTCGGTTGGCTGTTTGTCCCTCGTTTTTTATTTATTCCGTGATTATGTTTGTACTTCTTGTTTTGTAAAGAGTAATGGAACGTTTTAATTTTGCTTAAACATTTTTTCGATCCAGTCTTTCAAGAACTGTTCTGTTTTTCACTTTGGGGGTGGGGAGAGTTATCAGTTCATTTGTTTTGAATGCCTGGGCGTTGTTTGAGTCATAAAATGGTGAGGCACGGATTTGTGAGTGAGACCTTCGTGTGTGACCGGGACGTCGCGAGTTGCCCGTGGCAGCGGAGGGAAGTGTGTACGTGTACATAGGTGTACGTAACCGACTCCATCGTGCAGTGCCTTTTAGACGTCCCACTTTCTATACAGTCTTCAGATTTTCGCATATATATTATATATATATATATGATGTAATGTTATAGAGATGTATGTATAATATACATATTTTTTCCAGGGGTATCTGATAGCTCTGTATTTTGTTATGGAAGTTGAAAGAAAAAAGTATTTTACCTCAGAGATTAAAGTTAAATAAAAAAATACTTTTAAGTAACGTCTGCAGGGCGTTGGTGGTGTTGACCTGCTGCGCCAGGGCCGTCCTGTCCGAGAACTTGCCGAGCCCGTGCCCACCCACCCCACCCACTTCGTCCTGTCGCACAGGGAGGAGGCAGGTCTGATGGCTTCCGGGGACTGTCTTATCCTGGCGTTACCGGCCCCTGCCAGAAAAGGGACAGCTGAAGCCAGGGACACCGGTGTGCAGGGGAAATTTCTACCTCAAGATTGTCCCGAGGATGAAGAGTGCATGGCACAGGGGCATCCACCTGGCCGGGTGGGTGGGACACACGGCTCTTGACCTCAGGGTGGAGTTCAAGCCCTGCATTGGGCATAGAGCTTAGTTTAGAATTAAAATTTAAAAAAAAAAAAAAAAAAAAAAAAAAGCTTGACAAAACCAGACCCAGCAGGCCACGCTTTGTCTGGTTCTGTTGATAGGAAATGCCCAGAATAGGCAAGTCTGCTGAGACGGAGCCAAGGCTGGCGGTGGCCAAGGTGAGCGGGGCTGTCGACCCACATGTCTTTGGAGGGATGGCAGTGTAGTGCAGCTCGTGCCGGCCGTCGCACGACTCGAACGTCACAGAAACCACTGAGTCACGGTTGCTCCGAAAGGGCGAATTCCGCAGTGTGTGAACTACATCTCCGTGAAGGGGGTTTTGTGGAGCACGTGACAAGCCAGTACTAGGGAAGCCGGTGGGGGACGGGAATCTGGAGGGAACAGCAGGGATCTTGCTAGGATGCTGAGCGTCCCACGTCGCCTGCAAAGGATGGTGCCAGGCTGAGTCCCCTCATTTCACCCCGAAGGTCCCCACGTGTGTAGAATCCTAGCCGCGTGTTAAGTTTGACTCCTCTCGAAGGGGCCTATGAGTTTGGGTAGGCTCGGATCCCTGAGGGGCAAGGCTGGAGAGGCAAGCTAGGACAGGTCATGAGAGGTCTTAGGAGATGCGTGGGGAGGCCACATTTCACTTGGCTAGCAGTGGCTGTCCCCGGTGTTTTCCAGAAGTTTACCATTCTACCAGCCGGTGAGGAGCGTGGCGATCGGGGCCCTGGGGAACCACCCCGCCTGTCAAGATCGGGGCTCGGGAACCAGTGAAGTGACTGGTGGAGCCCCGGACCCCCCAAGGCGAGCTGGGAGTGAGCTCGGAAGCAGACCCTGTTGCCGGACCGCCTCCCACCGCTGGAAGCAGAAGCAGGCAGCTGGGTTAGGGACACAGCCCGGTGCAGGTTAGCGACGAGGCCCCAAGCGTCCGGTTCTGCCACCCTGTGCTGAGCGTTCAGCTCGCAGAATTGTGTGCAGGTGGTGGCGGCAGGAGAGGGGAGGGGAGCGGCAGAAGAGGGGAGGGGAGGGCGGGCCTCAGCCCTCAGGCACCTGGGTGGGGACTGGGGCCTTCGCCTTGGCTCCGGGTTACCTCCCTGTCGCACAGTCTGCGCTAGACATGGGCAGTGACCCCGCACCGGGCTGCCTGGTGTCCACAGGTTCCACCTCATGATGGCCGGCCGAGGCAGGGACGGTGCAGCCCCATGTTACCGAGGGGACGCTGAGTCACAGCTGGTAACTGCTATGACCGTGGTCCACCACTCTGCCTGAGGGCCTTTCAGGCCTGCCGACCCCTGGTCTGTCCCGCTGCCCACAGCACCCTCCCTCCAAACCCCCTGCCTGGCCAGTTACACCGTCCCTTCCTTCCCCGGACCCCTGAGGGCTCTGCTGCTGTGCACGGACCTCCGCGCCACCGGCGCTCTGTGCACTGGCCGCTCACCGGACGGTCAGGAAGCCGAGCGCCGAAGCCTCCGGACGCCGGACAGACGTTTGTTGGACGCATGGGGGGGGGCTTGGTTGTTGGGGTAGGGGACGCAGGCTTGGAACTGGACAGGCAAAGGGGCGAGGGAGCAGCGGCAGTGCAGGCTACACGGTGTCTTTGTGGCGAGCTTCCAGGCCGCAGATAGGTGCCACCTGCTGAAGGCACTGAGCCCCCACCACAGCGCCTGGGTCCACTCTCGGGGACAGCGCGCCGGCGCCTACCCTCCCACACTCCATCTGCACGCTCAGCCTCCCTCCCTGCCAACCTGCCCGCCAGCCCAGTGCGTCCAGTGTTGATGTTCTCACTCAGAATGGGGACCGGAGAAGTGAGCCAACGCCCGTCCCGCTCGGGCTGTGCCCTGATACCCCCCGGGGTCTTTCCCTTGCTGCCTCTTGCCAGGATCGCCCCACATGTGCCAGCTTCACTCGCCTGCCTCCAGACCTGCAAAAAAAAAGTGTTTTAAGGATGTATGCAGACGCCTGTGTGGTTTAGTCCATGAGGCGTCCGCCTCGGGCTCAGGTCATGATCCTTCATGATCCGGGAGCCCCGGGATCCAGTCCCGTAATGGGCTCCCTGCTCAGCAGGGAGCCTGCTTCTCCCTCTGCCAGCACCCCGCCACCCCACTCATGCTCCCTCTCTCTCCCTTTCTCCCTCTCTCTCAATTAAATAAAAATCTTTTTAAAAAATAAAGGGGCACCTGGGTGGCTCAGTGGGTTATGCCTCTGCCTTCGGCTCAGGTCGTGATCTCAAGGTCCTGGATCGAGTCCCACATCGGGCTCTCTGCTCAGCAGGGAGCCTGCTTCCCCTTCTTTCTCTACCTGCTGCTCTGCCTACTTGTGATCTCTACCCATCAAATAAATAAATAAAATCTTTAAAAATAATAATAATAATTTAAAAATAAAGGGTGTGCGAGAAGGCCGCTGAAAAGCCGGAAGAAGACCTCCTGTCTAGACAGCCCCCAACCCCACACTCCTCCCTAGTCACGCTCCTGTGCCCTGCCCTGCCCGCAACTGGGTGTGCTGACGCCCTGAGGGAGGGAGATAGGCCAGGCTGGCCTTGCTCCCGCGGTCCCGCCCCCGCCATGGTGCTGGCGGGGGAACAACCTCTCTGTGCCTCGACTTCCCTACTTTATGGGACTGTTGTGGGGATTAAATATGCACACAAAGCGCTTCGTACTCAAAATCATTTTTGTAAAGATTTATTTATTTGTGAGAGAGACCGCACGCGCTTGCACAAGCAGGGGGAGGGGCAGAGGGGCAGGAGCCCAGCACGGCCGGCGATCACCGCCGGAGCCACGATCAAGAGTCGCACGCTCCGCCGACTGAGCTGCCCAGGGGCCCCTCAAAATCATTTTTTAAAAGTTTTACTTTTAAGTAATCTCCACACCCACCATGGGCTCAGACTCACAACCCCGAGATCAAGAGTCGCACGCTTCCCCGACTGTGCCAGCCGGGAGCCCCTCAGAATTATTTTTTCAGCGAAGTGACTGGATGTTTCTGTCAACTTCGTTCCCGTGCTCTGCTGGGCTCTGTGCCCTCACATCCCTCTTCGGCCCCTCTCAAGAGCACGGAGATGCTCAGATCCTGATTTACAGAGGAGAGAAGTGAGGCCCCAAGTGGGTGACCCGTCCAGGTGGCTCAAACAGGCCTCCCGACTCTGAATCCCATGCTTTCCCCCAGCATTGCCCTCGGGTCTCTGAGGCCAGGGTGACGACGCCTCCAAGAATCAGAAATGCAGAGTTGGGAGCAGGGGGCGCACCCCAGCCTTGGTGTCTCTCCGTCCAGTCTGGAGCCCGGGAGGGGAAGTGGCCTCTGCTGCAGGCCCCAGGAGGGGTCCTGAGCTCTGGCCAGAGCGGCTGCAGGGGCTGGGCTGCCTGCTGGCCGGGGAGGATCGCAGTAAAAGATCAGAGCCATCACCAGCGCCGATGAGCAGCCCCCCGGGGTCTCTGATCCCTGGGGCTCCGGGATCTGGGGGTGTGCTCAGACAACAACGGGGCGGCCTACAGCTCGAGCACCGGACGGAGCCTGGGAAGGGAAGGTCTAAGGCCAAGAAGCAGCAGGCCTCCGCCCCGTGGCACCGCTCCTCACCTCAGCCGGCAGCTGCTGGCCCAGCCCGACTTCAGTCCAAACCCTGGTCTCCAACAACCTTGGTCCCGGAGAGCTGAGGGCCACCAGGGCGGCCGCCTCTGGCCTCTCGCCCACGTCCTTCAGGGACCTCCCCGGAGAGAAGTGGGGAGGAGGAAGGACAGGGAAGGACCCCTCCCTCCCGGAGGCCAGTTCAGCCTTGCACTGAGGTTTGGGGAGGGGGGGGCAGGACCCTTCGTTCCCACGCGCCGTTAAGAATTCCTTACCGCCCCCCCCACGCCCCCGCCCCGTCCTCAGAGCCATGGAACCAGGCACTGGGGTGGGGAACCAGCCCAATCTGGTGTTTCAAGATGTGTCTTCTTTGTGGGACTTGTGTCCTCTTGACAACTGACAGGAAGGAGAGGGGAGGGGAGTCCGGCACCTGCGGTGTTGCTGTGTCTCGGGAATATCACAGGTGAGGAGTTCGTGTTTGCTCTCCCCTGGAGTGGTCTTCTGGGGGCCGCCCCACCGCCCCCGCAAACAGCCGAGGTACTTGAGCTCACTGACTTACTCCCCACTTGCCCTCTGCAGCGCACACCTGTTACTGTCCCCATTCTGCAGGTGAAGGAAAGGAAGGTCAAGGAAGTGAAGTGAATTGCTCAAGGTCAGCCCTGCTCGTGAGTCACCAAACCAGGACCCAGCCCGCGTTGTGTTTCTGACTCCAAGGTCCACGCCCCCCCGCCAGCACCTCCCTGCCTCTGGGCCGGCAGTGACACACAGGCCCTGGGACAGCCCCTGGACGGAAGGCAGGGGTTTCTGAGTGGCTGAAAAGAGGCCCCTGATTTCCCTAAGGGGATCTGGTGGGATCAGGACTTGAGAAACTGGACAGGGGGTAGGGGGGGCCTCCTGGAACAGCCTCAGCCACGCATGGGTCCTGCAGCCAGCGGGTCCCTGCCCTCCAGGGATTCACCCTTAGGGGACAGACAAGCCAACGTAATGCACGGAAATGCGAGGCAGCTGATGGCCCAGTGACAGGAGTCGCTCATGGATTCACCCCGTGCCACGCTCTGTCCTGGGGTTTCAAAGTC